TTGTGAGGATCTAGCCCTAAGGGCACTCTATAACTTGAAAACCACCCGGGCTTGTTAGCTCGTGTCCTTATTGTGAAATCCTTGCCCGCGTACAAGGTACTTTTGACCAATAAATTGACTATAACTCATTAGTTTATTGGAGATTTGGAGAGATATTTTAACCATAATCTCCCCTATCCTAGACTAACATTCTCTGAAATTTTGGTTGAAATCGGATGAAAAATAACAGAATTCGTTTCTGAGGGGGGGGGCCCCCCTTAATTTATAACCATCATTAAATTTGATTTTTGTTGCATCAAGTTGCAATAATTCTTCACGTGTAAAAATAATATCAATTAATGATGTTACATATAAATTCATCTTTTGTTTAACACCAGGTATTGATAATAAATCAACATCATTTCCATCATTTGGATTTTTACACATCTAAAAAATGAAAACAAATCTTATGAAAAATCAATTAGTATAAAAAAGGGCATGAAAAACATTTTTTTTCAGAAGTTCTTTCTTCACATGTTATTACTCTGTTTAAAGCTGTTTGAACGTACCATTATTGTTTCAAATGTTTTTTCTTCAACTGGTTGTTCTACATTGGGTTCTTCTAATGGTATATGTATCTAAATGGAAAGAAACAAATATAATTCACACAGTAGAATAAGAATTTACTTACCCAAACCTCCAAACGGAATATCTGATAAGCTTGTAATTGTTGGTTTTTCTAAAAGTAAAGATAGAAGAAAAATATCGCAAATATCACGCTTCTGTGCAGAATGAAATCAGTATTCCTACTTGATTGTTGTTTAACAATTGTGGTGGTTTTTGTTTTCATTTTATTTTCTTGTTCTGGATTATAATCAGATTCAATATCTGTATTCATAGCTTTTCCTAATAATTTTTGGGCTTCATGTAATTCAGCCATTGTACCTATAGTAGAAAGAGAAATAGACAAAAGATAACTTTTCACACTTTTTAAAAAAAACTTCACGTTCATCTGATACCTTCTTTGAAAACCATTGCCAGACATTTTTTACTGCCACTTTGTACAGTAATTAATCCATCATGTTCTGAATTTGAACACTGTTTATTATTAACAATAGAAAATGTATTGTTACTTGGAAATATTACAAGTTTATATGTTTGTTCGGTATTGGTTATGCTATAAGTTTTGTAAGATTTTTTATAAACATTAGTATCGTCTAACATATCTAAATTATTGTACATACTCAATAAAAAAATCAATAAATAGATCGATTTTATGTCGCAAGAGTAGAAGAATGATCGTCACAGCGGTCGACTATTGTGTAAACAGACATTGAATCAGAAAAAAGAACAATGATGACGGTCAAGTCGATCTGAATAAGATGAGCAATCACTGACGGATGAGGCAATGACAATAATCTTTTTCGTCTGACATAAAATATGCTATATCGAATTGATTACAATTATTTGTTTAACTACAAACATTCTAATTCGAATCTATTTTGAACATAGAACCGTAGAATGCGCTTCACTAAATGAACAAGAAATCATTTGGGATAAAATAATTTTGCAGGGATCCCGTTTTTTTGGCTGGGAACCTGCAGGATCCCGTCACTTTTTGCGGGATAGGCGGGAACCCGCGACTTCCCGCATAGAAAAGTTAATCCCGCGAGATCCCGACGAGATTCATAAAAAATGAGCGACATGGGAAGTTTGTTCGACGATTAGAACAGAACTTACCAATAACACTTGAATCACCAGCTTTGTTTTTATCATTATGAATGCTTTCGAAGACTGGATTGTTATTTAATACACCTTCAATCTTTTCAGGTCTTTTATTTATTTTTGTTTCTGAAGATATTTCTATATCAAAATCGGCGTTGTTCATATTAAAAATTCTTATTTGTTCATCAATACTCTCTTGATTCATTTTATATAATCGAATATTACTATATCTGTTGCTTGAATTTGATAAAATATGAATATCACAAAGACCATACCGC